ACAGTTTATACCAATTAATCATTTTATTCCTTTAAATAAGCCACTTTTTCTGTTTCTTTGTGTGCCTTGTGAATTTGTTGTTGTTGAAGATTGGCATTTAATTTTTCTAATGTGGTGACTTCAGAAATCAGATTCTCTTCATTCCCTAGGTTCTCTATGTGGGTATTTCTGTATTGATTATTAAAGACTATTGTAGTCTATTTGTCTTGAGAAAAACCATTTTTGCAAAGTCTATTCTTTTGTGTATGTACTCACTATTTTGATACCTTTAGCTTGTACTCAGCTAATGCTTTGACAAAGATTATCTTGAATTTCAGGATCTGAAACAGATAAAAACAAACAAAAAACCCCAAACAAACAAATAAAGGGACAGTTCACCTCTCTCAGACTTTATAGACTGCCTCTGTCCTACTGTACTTCTTCAGGAATTTTCTAGGCCTTCCATGAGTCTAGGGTTCAGCCAGGGTGAAAGATTAAGGGATTCTAAAGAATTTTGAGGATGTGTCTTTCTGGGGCATGCTCATAACTTTCTAAATACCCCTGTATATACAGTTCTTTTTGATTGCCCTAATTTCCCAAAGAGTCTCAACGTGTTTCTCCTCTGGGCCTTAGCTGGTGTATTGTATGTCTCCACCAAGAATCTCTAGACCCAGATATGTGGGATTTTTGTCCCCTTGTGGTTTTGATGAGAAGTTCCTGTTGCTTTTCCTGCCTGTATTCTGAACTATAAGAGACAGAGATGAGCAAGTCACTTCTTCAAGTACTTCTCTAGTCAGGTTAGAATGAACATATACAATAATTTTCATGTAAAGTCTGCTCTGCTTCCTCCACTCTGAAGTGGGGAATTGGTAACTAATCTGTCACTGCTGAAAAGCACACCATCCTGTATTATGAAGGGTATGGGGGATGGAGAATAAAACCACCACTAATCATTTTTATCATTTTGAAGATGGCTTTTTCTTGATTAAACATGTGCTTGATTGCTGTAAAACTTTGATTATTTTCCAGAGCTTCTACAAAGTTGGTTCACACAGTTTATGTTTTATTTTACTTTATTTTTATGTTCACGATTGGGGAATAAGAGCTTGGGACTTCTTAGTCTGCCATTTTGCTGACTCTACATCCCAAGGGTTCCTATTTCTGACAAGCCTAGGAACACTTTACTTCTTCTGTTTTTATTTTCAAATACCTCTAGGTAAGTGTCAGTGCCTCCAAAGTCAAGTTTAGCACTTCATGAGCACTTTGTTTTTCACTTTGTCATTACTGGTTGTTCTCAGTTATTAGTTAATGCTATTTATCATTGCCATTTACTAAACTTCAATTATATAAAAATAATGAATTAATTAGTTTGGCTTTCAATAAACACAAATATAATGGGCATTTCATAAAAATAAAGATGTATTATTTTTGTTTATCATTTGAGTTCAGGTATTATAAAATTGGAATTATTTGTGGTTTTGCTATGGTTTGAATGTGTCAAAATAGTTCATATGTTGGAAACTTAATTGGTAATGCAATGGTGTTGAGAGGTAGGGCATTTGAGAGGTGATTAGGTCATTGAAGGCTCTGGCCTGGTGAATGGATTAATGCTATTTTCACAGGTTGGATTACTTATTACAGGAATGGCTTCCTGAATTCACTCCCTTCCCCTCTCTCTCACATGTGCTCTCTTGCCCCTCCACCTTCTGCCATGAGATCATGCAGCCAGAAGTCCCTCACCTGATGCAATCCCCTTGACCTTGGACTTCTCCACCTCCAGCACTGTAAGAAATAAATCTCTGCTTTCTTCACAAATTACCCAGTCTCTGGAATTCTAGTACCACAGCAGAAAATTGACTAAGAGATGGCTCTTTCAAAATTCTCCTTTGTTCCCCATAACTTGCTATTCTGTCAATGTGATTTTTATTTCAAGTTTTATTTCACAAATTAAACACTATTTTTTTGCATTCATTTTTAGGTTATTATATCCATTTTGGTATGTGAGAATAACAGTTCTCCTATTTGTTGTACCTGCTGGTTCTCTCCATGCTGGCACATTTCCTTATGTGGTGGTTTCTTGATATCATTGAGCTCATTCTTAGCAGTATTATTTTTTCTGTAGCTTTGTTAGATGCCCTGTTATATAGACAGTTTTGTCTTTTCTTCTGCTACAGCTTTTGGGATATGTATCTTGAGATTTCCACATTAAAAAAAAATCCCAAATCAGGACTGTAAGATAACAAATTAATGTTGTCTTTAGTAAGAAAAAAATAAACTAAATAAATTCCAGCTTCAACACCTGAGTAAGGCACAGATTTAATGTTTCTATTTCTTATAGAAAACTTTTCCATGCCAGAACTGTGAAAACATGAAAGCATATTTTCTTCTACTATGGTTTGGTGGAGTGGATATTTTATTTGCCCTTTTTATGAAGTGGGCATAACTTTTAGAAACTTGCTTTTATGCAGATAATCTCACTTGTAACTCTATACTATTTTTTTAACAATAAGAAGATTTCATTTTTTTCATTTTATTTGTTTTTCATTTCTTGTGTTTTCATTTCTATTTTGAACAGTGGAAAGAGATTTCTCTTGAGTAGTTCTTTTTATTTTATTGACAAATTTAATTATATTTTACAAAAGCACAAAATGTGTATATGCCCCAGGCATAGTTGAATAATCTCGAAACAGTACCATCAACACTCACTTTGTGAGATTTTTTCAGAGACTTTATTCAGTGTCAGTGCATAAATATAACTTATTTTAAAGATGCATCAGATTAATTTATTATTTAAAGTAATCTGTTTCCCTCTATATAGATTTTAGCTAAATACACAAAGAATGATTATACTTACTATTGCCACACTAATTTACTTTACTGGCCATAGATACCTATACGTGGAAATATTTAATAAAGGTTAAGGGGAAAATACTTCTTCAATGAGAATCCTAAACTATTTATCTATCATTGTCACTGAAAGAGGTAATGATATGTCTCCTAAAATTTGAACCACTTTTCCATGTATAAAACTATCTGTGGGCTGGGCACGGTGGCTCACGCCTATAATCCCAGCACTTTGGGAGGTTGAGGCGGGTGGATCACGAGGTCAAGAGATTGAGACCATCCTGGTCAACAAGGTGAAACCCCATCTCTACTAAAAATACAAAAATTAGCTGGGCACGGTGGTGGACACCTGTAGTCCCAGCTACTCAGGAGGCTGAGGCAGGAGAATTGCTTGAACCCAGAAGGCGGAGGTTGCAGTAAGCTGAGATCGTACCATTGCACTCCAGTCTGGGTAACAACAGCGAAACTTCGTCTCAAACCAAACCAAACCAAACCAAAAAAAAGACAACTATTTGTGAATTTTATTATAATGTTTTTCTACTTATTTTCTTGTGATAACATTTAATATTTATTTTAAACATGTGTGGGTGTGTACATATGTGTGTTTGTATGTGTACGTGTGTATGTGTGTGTGTGTGTGTGTATGCAGGTCTCTCTGTATTTGTCTCTCTCACCATATAGATGTAGAGCATAAATGAAAATATTGAACATCGAATTGAAACCTACATGCCCTACATTAAAGATTCTCCTTACAAGAGGAAAGTCAGATGTTCTTTTTAGCCAATATCATCGTCATAAGCTTAAAGGATGATGGAGAGGTACAGAAGCTGAAGTTCCAGGGGATAGTATGTAAATACATAGAAATTCATTGCACAGAACTTACAGGTACTATTAGAATGCTACTTTAATTCTCCTCTTGGTGATTATACCTCTGCATAGCTCAGTGGTAGCAAAGAATATAATTATATCTGTATAATTTCTGCCTTACTAAATTTAATTAAAATCTCTATTTTGTTGATATTTATGATTACTAAATCCCTAATTAAATGTTGTAGAAAAAAACTACAGTTGCTGAGTTTGTGGTTGCTAAGAACATAACATCAACTAACTGGATCAAATGACCCATAGTAGGTAGTCAATAAATGTGTGTGTGTGTGTGTGTGTGTGTGTGTGTGTGTGTGTGTGTGAGGATTCTTCTTTCTTATTTATGTTCCCAGTGTTAATGGCTCCTGGGACAATGGATTCTTTTATAATTGATATTGTCCATGCTGAATGGTTGTCAGCCGAAATTTATATAAGAGTTTTACTGGGAAAGACATTCTACTTCTTTTGGTATGGAGAAATGAATGTAGAGATAAGGCAAGTACAGGAAAATGTTTCAGTTTAATTCTGGGGACCAGGAAGATAGCAGTTTTGTACAAACTTGATCTGTTCTAATTAATTTTTTTTCTGATTTTGAGATTTTGTTATAGTTGCACATAGGATAGTAACATATCAACAACTTTTATCATATTCAGACTATACACACACACACACACACACACACACACATACACATGCAATTTAAAAGATTGGATGGTATTATAATATAGATTAGCACTTCAATGCTCCACATCACAATCTTTAAAACAGATAGTAATTTGGAACTCTAGGTATTTATTTCCTATGTTACTTCTACTCTGGCCTAAGAAATTTGACAGGCTTTAGTTTTTTAATGTGGAAGTCCAGTAATGAATTTCAATGGCCGTTATTGGAAATATCTCTTTAAATGTGGTAAGGTAGTGAGTCTCCTGACTATTCTTTGTGAATATGCTTTGATGAACATGACTGATCTTTGATTTTACTTATAGTTTATGGATCTTTTGCTGAGTTTCAATTAGAATTTTTCTATTAAGCACCAATGGCCAGAAAAGGTTTTCTATTATTTCACACTGAAAACTTAAAAAAACAATTATAGTCTGGACTTTAGAGACTGAGGCTACAGCCTATGCTGTCTAATATGTGGGATCTAGATGTGTGGATAGTGAAATCACTTTCTTTCCAAAGAATTCTTTAGATAAACTGTAGCTTTGTAGATTTGGTTCTAGCTGTGAACAATAGCCCAGGTAAGATAATTCAGCCAGTGTGAAAAGCTGAATCGGTCCCACTCTTCCCATTAGGCAATACATGAAACCCACCTGGGAATCTTGGGAAAGTCTGTTCAACACTCCCACTATGCTTCGTTTTGTTTTTCTCATCCCACTGCCAAACCTTTGTGAACTCCAAAGGACATTCAATCTTTCCAGTTTTCCCACCTGTAATGAAATATACAAGTGTAAGAGCCCCATTAAGAATTTCAATACAATTGCTCTTCTACTCTTACATTTCAACCTGTTGAGAATCCTGTTAAGCAACCTTGTTAGAGCTCACTCATCTCTGAATCACAAATCTGAAATCAGCTTTAATGCCGTTCCATAGATACGTCACTCATCTCTGAATCACAAATCTGAAATCAGTTTTAATGCCATTCCATAGATATGCCATTGGATTTTGTCAAATATAAATTATCAGAAGAAACAAGACACTAATGCATATTTGACAATGAATGTCCCTTGGGCTCATTTCATACCCACATCTTAATAAGAGAGCCCTTTGCAGCAAGGTGTACGCGGCTGGTCTCAGTCCATCCTTTTCTTAACTGAGCAGCACTTGAGCGCTCTTCCATGGACAATGACACAGTTATTGGAGTTTAATTCTAACTTCATTGCCTTTTATATTTTTAAGGAAATTTGGGAATAAGAAATACAACCTGTGAGGCCAGGTTTATGTTCATACAGACTTTTAAAAAATGTAAGTTATCCAGAATGGTTTTATAGGAATCATTAACTTTTTAAAAGGCACCAGTTTCCTTCTGTCATTAATGATATGTGTAACAGCTTAATGTAACGCTACTTTTAATTATCACAGCCCTTTCTTTTAAATATCAAATTTCCCTCTCTAAACTGTCCTGCCTTCTTTTTAGAGTCTCATCTGTCACTGTAAATGCCATCACTTTATTCCTTCTTTAGATGCACTGACAGGCCCACTCTTATTCCAAGCTTTATCTCTTTTTCCATCCTTTATTGTACTACAAAGATCCCTTTTTCATAGTTTACAGCTGTATCCGCTTTCCACACGTGGCAAATGATTGCCTCGGTAAAGGTATTTTCTGTTTCAATCTTGCATTTTCCCAAGGGAGAACAAAAGGGACAAGCTTTCTGGAGTTGGTTTCACTGAGAAAATTGTTTAGAATTGCCTCATTCCTCAGCAGATTAACGAATGCATACAATCCCAGCTTAAGTGCTATTGTACTACACAATTTGTCCATTATACTTTGTCCTTTCCATTTAGAAAACCCCTCACCAATTAAAGTAATACAGCCTTCCAATACCTGCTCCCAATTAAAACTGAGCTGTATTACCTGCCCCGATGCAGCTGGTCACAGATTCTTACCACTTACTCGCATTCATTAGTCTTGTTCATTATCAAGGGGATGGTGGCAGGAATTCAAGCCACTGCCTTCCTTTTAGGGCCCACCAAAATTATCAGCTTTCCACCCAAGGCCCAAATAAGGACAGGATTAAGTATAAGGAGAAGGAATTCATACAGTAGCAACTCTCATTGTTTCTTCTTTCCTCATGTTCTTTCTACCTCAACACATCAAAAGGATACAGTGCAGGTACAAAAGATCACTCGTCTTAATGAAAGGATCACTTTTCGCTTCCTTTTGAGCCCAAAGCGTACTCCCCAGCTTTGTTCTTCTGTCTTAACTGCCCTCCTTCTCCAAGCCCTTTCTTTAAGACCACAGTGAGAACCATACGAAAGGCTCTGAAAGTGACCAAGAAGCCCACTTACTGCGAGCTTTGTCATTTAAGAGCAAGGCTTTCCAGCTCCAGGCTGGACTGGATTTTGGGAAAGTGTTATTTTTCATTCCAAGGCTTAAGGATCTCTAAGAAAGGAGGGGGTTTTGGAGGAATGGAAGGTATAGGGAACTGTGATTTAATTACTACTGAGCATGATTGCGTGAGTGGGTTCTCCCAGATAAATTCTAATCTAAATACAATGACAAAAATATACAACAAGCTTTCTTTACTTTGATTTTGAAGACGGACATACACGCAGTTAATTCTTTGGTGATTCTGGTGGGTCTCTTTCATGATTGATCAGAAAAGAAAATTAAAAAAAAAAAAAACAGTGGGGGAGGGCATGCCACAGAAAGGAAAAGGTCATAGACTAAAGAGGAGAGGTGTATTAAACAAACGTAATAGAGAGAAAATTCAGGAGAGAAGAAAATGCAAGTTCGCTGCCAGGGTTAAGAAATGTGAAATTCAGGTAAAGAAGATTATTGATAAAAGGAGAAACTCATGGAGTACTGAATAAGAATTGCTTCTTTAGCCCTGAGGAGACCAAACCTGAGAACTTACTCAGGCACTTGTGGTTCTCAGTGGAAGGGGAAGGGGGAGAGGGAGGACAGGAAGAGTTCAGTTGAGGCTCCAGCGTCCTTTTATAGGAAAGTACAGAGCAAATTCCACGTATCATCTCTGGAGAGAAGACACTGAGATCCTGCACCAAAGTGTCCCTTTTAAGATCTTTGATTATGAAATTAAATTAACATATTTCCTCTTCCAAATTCTGAATCATCACCTATCCTTTAGTCAGTAACATTTTAAAGGAACTTTAGTGACCACATGACGCTACTGAGTAGGCACTGTGATGGAGAAATCTTGATCCTGGAGAAACTACAAGCATTCTCAAAGAAGCAGATATATGGTGGGTGGATAATCAGTGAAAATCCATCCTAAGCAACTTTACTATAAGTCTTTATTGTATACATACAAATCTTATCAATGAACAGCACCATATGCATATCTGTGGCTTTTTTTTTCTTGGGGGGGGAGGTTGTATATTAGTGTTTTCCTCTCAATTAACTTCTAGGCAATTTTCCCAGCTAAATGCATAACATCTTTGGCAAGATGCCAAACAAAACCTTAAGACCCAACACTAAATTCTACACTTATACAGGCAGCTTAGATTTTCATGCGGTGAACTGGAAGCTTGCCAGCAACTCCCACTATAAACTCAGCAGTGGGAAAGCTATATATATTTTTTTTATCAAGAAACTCTACTTTAGATTTCCAAGACCACTTGAAAATTGCACTATTTTAATGTGCCTTTTAGACAAAATAAAAGAAAGATTTAACCTGCTATTAAATTAACCCAATTAGCTATTTATTCTGCGTAACCTTACACTTTGTATGATGTTAAATCAAATAAACTGGCAGGGAATGAATTTTTTAAAGTGAATTATGGAAATTACAAGATGCATTCTAGACAATAAGTTCTTATGTCTTTTTCCTTATCCTTTTCACTCTGACAAGATTATCAGAATACTTACTTTAAAAAAAATTTCCTTTTTTTTTTTTGTGTGTATAAAATGGAATTACCCAGGATACAATGCAGCTGAAGGTCCTGGGGAGAAGTGGCTGGAAAATTAGAAAGGAAAGGAAGGCTCATCAAATAGAAAGTTACACCACTCATTCCTTGGAAGGCTTGCCATCCATCCCCCAAACTTTGCTTTTTCCTGTGCTTTTACTTGTACATTCCGTTCAACACACGTGTTCTTCCAGTAATGCAGTACTTTTCAAAGCACTAACTGCAGTCAGGTTGCTTTGGTCCCCGGTCAAGCTTTGTTGATGTTAAATTTAGAACCAAACTCTGAGTTTGAGTTTCTGTCCACTGGGATCTACAAGTTGAGGTAAGAAACACTTTTGAGAACTTGTGTAGTGTCCGATAAACCTCTTTTAACACTAAAACGCTTTTGGAAAACAACATTTTGACGATTTAAGAGGCAGTGAACCAGAAACATATGGATTAAATTTCCTCTGTAATACCCAGGGGCTTAAAAATTAAGGGGGAGACACTTGGCCAAACAAATTTTGCTCAACCAAAAAAATTCACAAACTAGGCCAAGATACTTTGCCAAACCTAAATTACTGATGAGCTCTCTTTCCGTAATATTAGCTATTATTATTATTACGTTTTATTTTTGTTTGATAATTCTGGAGTTTTAAAAACATCTGGAATGATTTCAGAGAACAGCAGTTCACATCAAACTGATTTGGCAATTTCAAAAACAAATCATAAATCATAACCTAACAACACTGTGAATTTGTCTACATAAATTCAAGAGCCAGGATAGTTTGGCCAGGGAGTGACACACAGTTGTACCCATGGCAAGGGTGCTTCATGTCTGTTCAGCAGGTCAGGTCAGAGGACATGGAGGAAGGAAAAGTCAGTACTTGTGCCATGCCCTCAGGCACCAGTTTCCACCAGACAGACAGGAGACAGACAGAAGGCACCACTGGAGAGCTTCCTATAAAAATATGCAGAGAGATGACTCCTTAGGACACCTCAGTAAAACAGAAGATATGGATCCCAAAAGAATTGTTAATGTTATCCTTTTGATTTTCAACAACTTCCAAGAATAGACAAAGCAGCTACTTCTGCCTGTTAGCCCTCTGTATGTTTTACCAACAGCACAGAACTCTCATCACACTAAATAACACCAAAATAGCAGACCAGAATATAAGGGTGAAATGAACTCTCTGAATCATGTTTTCCACTGACCTTTCCTATGTTTGTTATTTGTTCCCTCAAATCATGACTGGAAGAAGACAGGTTCTGTGCTATGCATACACAGAGCCTGCATTTGAAGAACCAGTAGGAGCCCAGATTAGGAAGTTAAGAGTTCAAGATGCAAAATACAAATAAAAGAGAAAGAAAGAAAATGAGAAAATGAAAGAAGAAACAAAAGAAATGAACTCCAAAAACTGAAAAGAATGCAGGAAAGGAAAAAGGCAGAAAGGAAGAGGAGAAGATAAGGAAGAAGGAAAGGAAGGGAAGGAAAATGGAAGGAAGGAAGGGAGGGAGGGAGGGAGGTTATAATATTAAGGGAAAGGAGACTACAGCCAATTTGATGAACACTTGCTATAGATTTTGTTGCATATATAATTTCTATTCCTTTGATCCATTTCAGCATTTAATTACCATTTTTCCTGCAAGTCAATTACAATTGCCTGTAGTATTGTGGTGGTAGAGATGGTGGTAATTTTGGTAATGGGATAGATCAGCATTGAGAAACTTTAAAACTGTCTTTAAGATAGAAGGAAGAGTTTGATGTAAACAAACAAACAAAAAACCTTTTTAAATATTTTGGAAGAGCCATAAAAGTCATTTGACATTTAAAGACAATGCAGCAGCAGTTACTTGACTATGG